CCTCGGAAGCCCTCCGACCTGGGAATGGATCTTCTTTCTGGCTTGCTTACAGAACAGCTGCCAACTCTCTGTAAATTTAACCTAAAGAGGCTCTGCTTAATGTATCCCTAGGGTTTTTCATAGGAGTCCTTGAGGTTTTTCTTTCAGCCCATGCTAAGGAGAAAGGTGTATATAAACAATGAGCTGATTTCCTTCATAACTTCCTTTACTTTCTCAGGAGAATCCTCTGGGTTGGCTGAAATAAGACTTGGAAGATTGGGTGTCCCAATGGAGAGAGGAGAGAGGAAAATTAATGGAAGCAAGGTTGTGCAGGCTTGGATTCATGCCATTTCTATACAAAAGCAGCACTGCCATCTACTGGGGAAGGCAACAATCTCTCAGCCCTGTTGGTCTTTTTGAAATATAGGGGAATCCTCAATTTTCTGGTCAGGAAATCGCAAAAGGTGATCACATGACCCCAGGACATCGCAACTGTCATAAATATGAACCAGTTGTCACGCTTTTTTTCAGTGCAGTTGTAACTTCGAACGCTCACTAAATGAACTGTTGTAAGTTGAGGACTATCTGTAGTTCATTTGGGTCTTTTAATAATCAATTATTTTTAGTAATAACAACATCAATGGAGGTGATGCAAATGTCTTTGCCCTCCTAGTGTTTACAACCCAGCATTTGATGAGGTAACAGAAGAACAAACAACAAGAGATTGTGTGACAGCGAAATGCTGTTTCCCTAATCCTATGCAACAATTCAACATGCATGTCTCCCTGGAAATAGATGCTCTAGCATTCCCTGGAACATTTTCCCAGAATAGCAGTGAAGACTTGGCTCTTCATCCAGGCCTTTGGAGAGGAAAGGAGAGAGCCCCTTCCTTTATATCATCTGGCCTGTTACACTTGCCATCTTTTATCTTTTATTGATTTTTATTGTAATTTCTTTGATTGTTGTCAGCTACCCAGAGCTACTGAGAGTTGGATGGCATACATATTTAATAAATTGCTAAATTATTATCATCTGTTCATAACAATCTGAATTCACACTGCCAGTTCTTTAGCTGGTGATTGGCCTTCATACCCATCAAGTTCTTCCCCAAAACCTAGGATATCATAATGTATTGGCTATTATGGTTTGTCACAATCAGCCAAATATTCAGATTGGATTTGACATTTTTATCCATGCATTGAGTCCTTCCTAAGGACCTGGGATAGGCAGATGTGGATGTTTGATAGTATTATCACATGTAATGAATCTCTAAAGTATATGAAGGATGATTAAAATTGTGCTTCTTATTGGTTGTTATCCTTCACACCCTCAAGCCAACATTTGAGGTGACTGCCCCTTGAATAATGGAAGGACCAGGGCCCTCTTTTCTTTCCTTCCCAATTCTTTTCATTTGAGGAATTTACACCAACTCTAAAGCCACATTTATACAAAAGATAAGCACTTGAGCAAAAAATGATATAGCTTATGGTCTCAATCATCATGCAGCGGGTATCCCAAGCAATTGCTCCAACCATTCTATCCTTCAAATCCCTTCAGATATGTTGGATTCTGGAAGTTAAAATCTAGCCCATCTGTGGATTATTCTTGTGCAGAAAATGTACTTCCCATTCAAATCCTCATTTGTGAATATAAAAGGTAGCAGGAAAATGAGAAGAGATTCAAGCAGTTTATTGAGCAAGATCAACTCATCACAGCTTTTCTCTCATTCCTTGTCCACCATCAGGTAAAAGAACAATCTCTGATACTAGCTAGCCATGAAACATTTGGAGATAGCACTATTTATGCATCTAGGCCAGTGATGGCGAACCTTTTAGAGACCGAGTGCCCAAACTGCAACCCAAAACCCACTTATGCATCGTCGGGTGCCGGGTGGGTGTGGCCCATTGGCTGGGTGTGGCCAATTGGGTGAGTGTGGCCCATTGGGTGGGTGTGACTGCGGTGGTAATGGCAGACTTGGTGGGACTAAAAAGTTCAATCAATCAATTCCAACTTTGCAAGATCTTGTTTTTCTCCGCAAGTTGAAATTGATTGATTGATTGAACCTTTTTTTTTTTGCACACGGCAGCGGAGGCCTAAAGCGAAAAGGTTTTATAAACCCAGCTGAAGGCCTAGGACTGGAGCGACGGCGCGCATGCCCACAGAGAGGACTCTGAGTGCTGCCTCTGGCACCCGTGCCATAGGTTCGCCACCACTGATCTAGGTGATCCCAGTTTAAATCCTGGGCATCTCCCTTTAATCCTGGGAAGAATGCTTCTATTCAGAGTAAACCAGAATTATTATTTCATCATTCAGGAAGGATTGCTGGGCTGTCAGTCACTCTTATTGTCTGCTGAAAAGTTGTGGGATAGGCAAAAATAGCTATACATAAAAGTTTGCCTGTTTGTTTCTAAGATTGCTATGCTACTTCATTCTAGACTGGTTTTGATGAAGGCGGGTTTAATTTTAAAATTTCTTTGTGAAAGAACAAACCAGCACAGTGGTTATTGGCATAAGAGGAGTTTGGTGTGCCGAAGGGGTATATGTGAATACCTTGTCTTTCATTTTACAATTATCCATCTAGGGTTTGCAGCCTACCTTACTTCTAATGTAACCAAAACGAACTCCACCCAGTCTTTCAGATCAAGAAATTCAGGCAGCCATGAAACGTAATAGAAAGATGCATAACAGAAAATACCAAACTAAGCGGGTTTTCTTAAATGAAGTTCAAATTCATTACGAGGAAAAATCCAAAATAGAACTTTCAAGCAATAAGGTAGAGAAAGATTTCAATGTTGTATTAGTTTAAACTTCTTGTTTCAGTGGTTTTCTTTTTCCAAACAATTTAGTAAAACTGATTTCCAGACAAACTACCCAAAGAGGAGACTCTTAACTCAGTGGGGAAAAAAAGAGTTGCAGAGTTGTGTGCATACAACTGATCAAGTACAACCCATTTATAGATTTATTTGCGTGTCGAGTCCTGTAGCCACTCAATTCCTGCCTCCAATGTTGCATAGATACAATCTTTTCCATTCTTTTGACAAGGCACCTTTTTAAACAGCTGTCTAATTTATCTCAATGGAAGAAGCAGATTAGTGAATCATTTGCTGAACTGAGGACCTCTCTGCAAAAAAAAACCCAGGTCAAACCAACATCATTCCCCAACTCTGCTAAAAAATGTACGTATGTGGCACCCTGTGTGAGATCCTTTTGCTCAATAACTAGGCAAACATCAGAGAGTTTTTTTCAAGTCACTGTTTATTTTATGACATTTACTGTAATTCATAAAAAGTAAGCAACTACAGGTAGTCCTCGACTTACAGCCACAATTTTGCCAAAATTTCTGTTGATAAGCAAAAGAGTTAAGTGAGTTTTGACCCATTTTACAACTTTTCTTGCCACATTGGTTAAGTGAATCACTGCAGTTGTTTAGTAACAAGGTTGTTAAATGAATCCAGCTTCCCCACTGACTTTGCTTGTCAGAAGGTTGCTAAAGGGGATCCCGTGACACCCAGGACACGGCAATTGTCATAAATATGAACCAATTGCTAAGCATCCAAATTTTGATCATGTACTAAGCATGGGGATGATGCAACAGTTTTAAGTGTGAAAAAATGGCCATAAGTCATTTTTCCAATGCTGTAGTTAACTAAACGAATGGTTGTAAGTCACAGATTACCTGTATATATAGCTTGTAAGCGTCCTCAGATCAGCCTAAGCAAGCTTCATCAAATACAGTGCATATGAACCTAGCTGGGATAAAAGATGGAGAGGGTTTCGAAGGATAATACTCATAATCATATCCATCCATTCAATGAAACTCTGAAGTCCTCAATACAATGAATACTGTATTGTGTAAAACTAAGGCTAAAAAATGCTTCTATGGAAAAAATTCATGGTCCACTCCAGACAAACTAATTACAGTGCAGTAAATCTGAAAATGTCACAAACAGGAATTTGCTTTCTTATCGAGTTTTTAAAAATCACAGCATTACAGGTCTGGATGTACTCTTAGAGATTAGTCCAACATTCATTATCTCCCTCCCTCATTCATTCCATTCATTCATTCATTTATCTGACTTAGATGACACTGACAGACCAACAGACACTGACTTGTTATCAGCCAGTACAAGAGTTCAAGGAAAGCACTCTGAACATGGCATCATCCACATAAGCAATTTTTGGGCCCCACTGATTTCAATGACAATTAATACACATAATGGCTTTTGAGGAAACATACACAGAATTCTGCTGCAAATGTCTCCTATTGAAATCACTGGAACCTTAATCGGTGTGTTCAAAATTTTGGTGGATAGTCATATTTATTTTTAACTATACAAAATATTTTCTGAAGGTACACTAGCAATAAATTGTCAAAAAAGCACACTATAAATGAGTAAAATTTAGAAGTCATTTTTTCTGTACTTAAGCTGTGATATTTCATTGCTGCGAAAATGCTATTTCATCAACAGACCAGCTTACTCAACAAGGTTTGTGACAGCAGGCCTAATGATGAGTAATATTCTCTTTCACATATCCAGTCTAGTAGTATGATCCTGCAATGCTCAACTTTCCTCAAGTGATTCACCTCTTTTTTGTTATTCTAGGAATTAGGCATCTCTAATTTCTCAGTTTATGTTTGCCCAGCATATTAAGCCATGATTTTCTCAATCCAGTTTTCTAATTCACACAACACACTAGGTTAACATGTGCTTGGCTAGTGTGCAAGTCAGTATATCATGGATACAGCCATATAGCATTGTTAAATCATCACCTAGTAAATGTTCAAATCCAACCCTATAGCTTTTAACTTTTGCTCTCAAGGAGACCATATGTAGCAAAAATGAAACTGCCATAAACCACTAAAAAGCAGATGTGAGATTCAGAAGACCAGGCATTAATTTGATCTCTTTGCTTCACATGCCCATTTTCCAAGTTCGGTTATTCTCCCCATCAGGTAACATACATCTGATTAACCTTGGTCTTGCCAACGAACTAATTCCAATTCAGGTAGCCATTTTGATTCAAAGGCAAGTATCAACATTGCCTGATTTGTGTGGCAAGCCCACATCAGACGCTGAACCAGGTTGTGCATCACGGCAGAAAAGAACAGCTGGGTTCTTAAAAGCCCACATAGCCACTTCTCTACCAGTGCCTGGACTGGAGCAGGTCAGAGTATTCTTTACATTGCCGCCGTTGCCATGCCCATAGCTGGCATAGCGTTCTGCCCGGCTCTTGCTCTCCAGCCGATGACCCTGAACAGCCGCCAAATAGGCAGCCACAGGTTTTTGAGTCCGATAGCCTCCTTCCCGGTTGCGCCCAAGAAGAAGAGAAATGTTAGGGTTGCGGGTGGCATAGATGAGAGGGTTAATGGCACCGTTGGCCCAGGCCATCCAGCTTACCACAGTGTCTACGGTGGGGGAAAAGGAGAAGTGTCCCGTTGCAGCAGCCAAGCCTAATATACAATAAGGGCCCCAGCAGCAGATGATGGAGATAATCATGATTAGAACAGTGGTGGCCGTGCGCATCTCACCATAGAAACGCAGGAGGTGCCCATAAGTGGTGAGTGGGCGCACCCTGCTCTCGCTCAGCCGCACTGCCCGGCAAATGTTGTAGTGGCAGAAGCACATGAGGGCGAAGGGCAGCAGGTAGCAAAGGACAATCAAGGTTGCACTATAAGGGGGCCCCAAATGGGAAGAGCCCCAAGGCAGCACATACATACAATGGTAGGGGGTAGGGGGGTCTGAACCGACAGGCTGCTCCTCCTCTTCCTCCTCCTCCTGGGCCAGCAGGTACCAAGGCCCTGAGAAGCCCAGGGCGGCCAACCACACAGCAGCCAGGAGCTGCGAGGCTCTTCGGCGGCCCATTTTATGCAGTGGTTGGCGGACAATGGCACAGTAGCGGTCAAAGGAGAGCAGGGCCATCGTCAGGGTGGCAGCGATGCCCAAGCCAGCGTGGAGGGTGGCGCTGGCCAAGCAGAGGCGGCGCCCGAAGAGCCAGGCCCCATGTGGGCGCCCGCTGAAGAGGCTGACGAAGGCCAAGGGCAGGCACAGAAGGGCATCCAGGAGCTCGGACAGCGACAGCGACAGCACGAAGGCGTTGGTAACTGTCCGGAGCTGCCGGTGCCGAGCGATGATCACCACCACGGCGCCGTTGCCCAGCGTGGAAAGCGCGAAGATGGCGAGCAGCAGCAGGCCCTGCGAGGCCAGCGCCGCCCCCGACCAGCCCCACCGCGCCGCCTCCTGGAGGTCCGCGGGTGCCGAGGGCGCCGTCCCCTGCCCGCTCCCCGCGCTTCCGTTGCCGGGCGCGGCAGAAACGTTGCTCAGCGCGGCCACCTCCTCCATGGGCAGCTGGCGCAGGAAGGCGCATTCCCAGCCCGAGCAAGGCGAGCCCCTTCCCGAAAGCGCCGAGGGGATGGATGGTGGGAAGCAGCGGCCACCGCAGGGTTTGGGGCCGGCTTCCACGACTAGGTGGCCCCGGCCTCGCTGAGCCCTGGAAGGCTGGGTTCCCGCTGCATTTTGTGGACGGAGAAGTCGGCTGGCCGGGGAAGGGGCGGCTCCGAGAACGGCGGCGCAACAGCTGGGGGAAAGCGCCCCGCTTCCTCGCGGACCACGCTTCGACCCTGCGCGCCTCTCGCGGCAACCTGGAAGGCAAGCGGAACTACACGGGGATGCTTTGGGTCGCCGCCTGCGCTCTCCAGCCGGGGACGCGCGCTCCTTCCCGGGCAGGCTGCTTCTGCGGAGAGGCGGCGGAGGATGGGGGTGGAACCGGCGAGCGAGAGCGCTGGGGGTGCTTAGCTTTCGCTGGTGCCTTTGCCGAGCTGCTGGTTCCCCCGCTCAGCCAGCCCGGACTCGGCGGGGGAGACACGGAAACCACCCGGGTGGTGCGCTGAATTGCGGAGCAGGAGACGTTCAAGGCCGCTGACGTTTCTGCAGACGGTTGCCCGGGGAAACCATGTTATTTTCCATCCGACGGTTGCTCAGGGGAGAAAACAATGCCGCAGCTCCTCCCGCCCCCGCCCCCCATTTTCATCTTTCCCACTTTATCCTGAGGTCTGTCTGGCGACCTGACAGGGCTGCAAGTGGCCCCTTTAAATGTTTTACAAGCCACCGATCAAAAACTCAAGAGACACCGTCTCTGCTGGCCCCAAGAGTTAGCAAAATTACGGCAATTACTTTTTCCCACGTTACCCCCAGTTCAGTTTCTCAGAACATGAAAAAAGAATCTGTTGGAACAGAAGAACCAACCCATTCTTGTTGGAGTGACTGAACAAATGCATAGAAGACGGGATTTCAGTAGCTGCGGCTTTTCTTAACTTTGCAAAATCTGAAACTATTGGTCTATACCAGTGTTTCTCAACCTTGACAATTTTAAGGCATGTGGACTTCGGCTCCCAGAATTCCACAGCCAGCATTGCTGGCTGTGGAATTCTGGGAGTTGAAGTCCACATGCCTTAAAATTGTCAAGGTTGAGAAACACTGGTCTATACATTAAGTTTCTCAGTGACCATTTTAAAAAATATATTAAAAAAAACCAGAATAGTAGTAACAATCACATCTAAAATTCTTCATTGGGTTTCCTCATCCACTACACTGTAGCACTGGAGTGGTCTTAGCATCCTTGCCTGGTCTGATACACCTTGGTTCAGGATTAGGTTCTGGCTCTCCAGATGAATTACAACTTCCCAGCAACTCAGCCAAGATGGCCAGCACTGAGAGATGTTGGAAATGGATGTTCGGCCACATCTGGGATAATTCAGCTTCCCTACTTCCATTGCAATACATGGCTGGGCTCGAATCAGGATCTGGCAGATTTTTAAGGTACAAATGGGTGGGTTAATAGCAGTATGTACTTAAAATATAACAAAAATTACCTTTTCATTTGCACTTTATTTAATAAATCCATGTGTTGGCCATCAATCTTTACAGTATACTCAATTTTAAGAAGGTAATTGTTTTGCCTATCCAACATGGATAGTTGTACAGCCATGTAAGAAAAGGTCAAAATCAGATAAAACAACTTGTTTCATAAACAAGGGGGAAAACAAACTGTTTAATTCTGCATGGTTACTCAGCATTGAATCACAGTGAACTTAATCAGTTATATTCCCAGTAAAGGCCTTTAAGACTTTCATTTTTTAACAAATGTTAACCACTATAATTGATATCCATAATGTAATTCAAAGAATAGGTATCCTTCCCCAACATACACACAAAACGTCTAGCAAAAAAATTCCCACATTTCAACTGTCAGTGAAAAAGTAGTTATCCTCAGAAATCCTTGATCAACTTCTTTGTAAGCTGTTTTTAAATATCTAACTACTAATGCAATTCTAATTTATTATTACTTACAGCATTTTGCTATCATACGTTTATTAATTCATTATAAATTATTCTAATTTCCTATTTGTCCCCTACAAGGTTTTTCACATGTCAAGAAAAAATATTTATGACTTACCATCCTGCCATCGTGTTCCTGTTGACCAACCAAAGATTTTGTAGTAGATATGAAAATGCTTAACTTTGGCTACACTGTGTTCTTATAATTATTTATTAATTATCAGTAAGAAATGAAAGCCAATACAATAATCAAAACTAAACAAAAATGCATCTTTTTCATCAGAGTCATTAAAAAAGCAATTACTTGAGAAAGAAACCATATTTCAGTGGATCATTTTTTTCAAGAGTGAATGTTGACGTTCCGGTATAAAAAGATTCTCCTGAGACTTCTACTATAACAGCATTGTGATCGCCACATTTTGTTTCCTGGATTGGAAAAACAAGATTAAAAAAATAAATCTGCTCATTAGTTCAGTAATACAATCTATAAGCTTTTGCAAATAACAAACATATGAGGAGACATACAGTATATACACAGAATGAAAAATTAAGTGATAATTAAAAACATATTCTCAACACTGGACAATTCTGAATGTTATGCGACCAGAACAGCATCAATATTTTTTCTTTAACTTCCTATTGTTTCATATTCTCTGAATGTTAAAAATTGTATTGGGCTGCACTGGGGAAAAAAATCCAAGTTGGGAATCTTGCACTGGTCCTTCAAAATCATTGCTCTTAATACTAGATAACTACTTCCTCCCCCTGAGGTATATTTTGAGTCCATTTCAATGCTACCCAAGGAAAAGCACTCTTTCAGTCAACTAATACCATATTTTCTAAAAAATAACATACACAAACTCCTCCCCATTCCTCAAAAGAAAAGTTTGGTATTTACCTTTATTGCTTTTCCAGTAAACAAGGAACCAGTTGAACTGCTTCTGAAGGTCCTGGTCTGGGTCAGCTGAATTAATCCTTTATGGTATTGTAAGGCAATGCGAGCAGTTACACCTGATCCTGTAGGACTTCGATCAACCTATTTTAGAAATATATGACCTGCTGTATTTTTGTTCATTGTTCCTTTATATAAATCATCAATTATATTCATATCTTTGCTTATTCATTTTCATCTTCACACTTTCCTTTGGAATTCACCGTTCCAATTAAATATGATGGCAATAATTATGTTTTGGGGGATAAAACATTCTAGAATAAGGCTGACTGGGCAAGAATAGACTGGCGGGCAGCTTCCTGTAAATAAACAGAGCAAACCCCACTCCCTCTAGTACTGAAGTTGTTATCTAGGTTGTTAGTGAAATGTCTGCACAATAACAATCAAGCTCAGAGAACACCAAGGACTCTGCCCTAAAATAATATTGACTTTAGCTTATTATGCAGTAGTAATATGAAGAGGTTTTGTGCCCAGAAAATTAGAATTCCGTCTTTATAAAGTCTGTGCAGAAGGAAGACATCAGTGACACTCTAGATCAGAGGTAGGCAACCTTGGCTCTTTTATGACTCGTGGACTTCAACTCCCAGAATTCCTGAGCCAGCTATTCTGGGAGTTGAAGTCCACAAGTCATAAAAGAGCCAAGGTTGCCTACCCCTGATCTAGATATTGCATGTCAACCCCAACCATCATGCTGGGTGGTTTTAGAAGTTGTAATTCAATATTTAAAGCTAGTGCATCATGCTCAAGGCCCTTAGCCTGCCAGATAATCCTGTCCAGCCTGTGCCTCATTCAACAGCAGCAGGAAAACCAGCTAGTAGTCCCAAAGGTGCTTTTTCACGTGGCAATTGGACTTTCTTTTTTCTCTTTGAAGACATTTCGCTTCTCATCCAAGAAGTTTCTTCAGCTCTGACTGGATGGAATGGAAGGATTCCAATCAGAGCTGAAGCTTCTTGGATGAGAAGCAAAAAGTCTTTAAAGAGAAAAAAGGAAGTCCAGTTGCCTCTTGAAAAAGGACCTTCGGGACAACCATGACCTGGATAACTGAGAATTTCCATAGACAGCTAGAAGTAGGGCAGCCACTGGTTGGTCCTAAACAGGTACTACAGTTCTTACACATAAGCTAAACAGGCTACACCACCTACTCTGTCTCAAGGGACCGCTGCAATTCACATGAAGGCAGGTGGGTTCACTGCAGGATCAAAGAGGAGCAGGCCTCCCCATTTATCTGCTGCCCATTGCCCTTCTGCAACTTTTTCCAAGCTTATTCTGCTGTTCAGTGCTGAGGCTCCGCACAACATTCCCTCCATTGGTTTTTGAACTTATCAGGTGGGAGTTGCACTTGGTTGGGGATCCCTGGCCTTTCCTTTAAAAGCAACTTGAAACTGATTAAACTTTCAGGAATTATAGTTTCTTACAAATGATTTTTTTTTCTTAGCATTTTCCCACTAGTCTACTTTTTTGGGGGATCAACCAAATATTGATCCATTGTTTGCGAAAAAAAAGCTTGACCAACTAGCTTGTTGTCTTAGCTTGACATCTTGAGCTGGCCCAAAGTCACCTAGCCAGCTTTTACCGGTATGTCTAAAGCAGGACTAGAACTCAGTCTCCTGGTGTCTAGCCTGGTGCCTTAACCAATACACCAAACAGGTTTTGGCAATACTTGACTAATTAAAACCAAAATTTGCCTTTCTTCTTTAAAGACATTGCCAATACAAGTTTTATTTCTTGGCAGAAATAAACTCAGGCATAGAATTCTTGGAAGATAAATTCTTATAATTAAGTTCAACTACACTGCTATTCAACCACAATCAAATCACGTATTTTATTGATTTTTTGGTTAAATGAAAAACATCACCAGGAACTGGCTGAAGTGAAGTGGTAAAAAGGTAGCTCTTTTTCACAGTACTGTTTTATAAAAGCTATGGCAATACACCTTTTTTTTAATGCATTCTTATACTAGACAGTTTTGTGTTTGGTACTCATTCTAGATTCCTGAAGGATCACAACTCTTCTCAGCAATATGTCCAATCTCACTTCCCATTTCATGGTAATTATCAGAGCCTTTTTTCAATAAATGTCATCCATGATAACAGACATCTATGATGTCTTTCTTGTTGTAACTTCTGGGTTGTTTTCTTGAAACCATGTGTTAGATTTTAAGCTAAAATTAAACTACTGAGACATTTATTCTCTTATAAGAGCTAGGACAAATAGATTTTTTAATGGATAAAGCAGACATTCAGATCTGGCTTTCCTGCCTTTCATATTGCAGATTCTACATATTCTCCCACTCTAGAAAGAGTCATGGTGGGTGCTTATAATTTCGCCCCTGCTATTTCAGGACTCCAATCGACAAAGATCCAGCTGAGGGCTATTCAACTAAGGACTACTTTTTAAAGGTAATAGCTCAGGATATTTCTTCATGCATGCTTTATTACCTGTGCATCTGCAAATACACATATATTACTTGTAGGTTCATCACTAAATTCATCTTTTCCATCTGTTAGTATAGTTCCATAAATGAAAGCCATCTCTTCAATAAGAGGGTGGTGAACTTTGAACTAGAAAAAACAAAATATTTTGGAGACTTTTATTAAAATATAACCAACGAAAGGATCTGACTGCTCCATTAGACCTGCACATAGTATCAATGTCCCTACTTTGACACGGATTTGAGTATTTCACTGCAATTTCTTAAATGAAAAACTAGTTGGAAATATTGTGAACCAGGTTTTACATTTGTATTAAAAAAAAGAAATCAGATATCAGAAGATTAATATAGCAACCATCTAGTCAGAAGACTGGAAGAGGAATTATAACTGAATATACCATAGTTCAGCTTTTGTTGGAACACTTTTAAATTTTGATCTATTACTCTATATAAGAAAAGCTCTGAAAGATTAAATCCAAAGCATCAAATCAAGCACTGCTCATGGGTGACTGATCAATACAAAAATTCGAAGAACTGAAGCTGATATGCCAATAGCAATCTTCTTCCAACATTCCCCAAGAGTTAGTAATTAAATAAGGTTATGATTCAGGCATCTAATAACTAATTCCTCAATTTACACTTGTTCCTATTTCCAACACTGCATTTATTCAGAATGGCCAGAGTATAGAAATCTGTTTGCAAAGCAAAGTTATTTGATATATTATTATTCTGGAAAAATTATTTCTGACTGCTGACAGTATTTTGAAAAGGTTAATTAGATTTTCCTTTCATTTCAAATAACTCACTGATCTGCAAAATGATGCATTTAGCTAGTAAATACAATACAATGTTAAATGTACCTGAGCCTTTACAGCTTTAGTTACTGCAGATGCTGCATCTACAAGATCCCTAATTTTTGAGGAACATACATCAAGGCCTAATTGTTCAGCACTGAGAAATGCATAGAAAGCACCCCCATAGCCAACATCAAGGAGGACTTTTCCATAGCCAGGAACATCAATGGTTATATCTGACGATCAGGTAAAAACAAAAAGGAAGGGAGACAAGAGATAAAAGTTATATCAATATCATCAGTGTTTATTAGTTTTATATTTATTTTGTTCAATAATGTATTCTTAAGGCAACTCCCTCAAAAGAATGTTAAAATCTGAAATCCAGATTCTTTATCTACCCTTACAACTAATGTCTGAAGATTCCCCAAATATAGTGATACTTCCTTCTTGTGTCGTTATCTTTTTCTGGTTTCAATCTTATTAGTGCCATTATTCAATCTTATTTATAGAGAAAATTACATTAGTGGCAGGATACTATATACTACTTTTAATTTGTTATTGAGATATAAGACTTTTCATCTTCAGAACTTCAAGATCAGAAAGTAAATAAAAATTACTGTGGTGATCTATAGGAACTACAATCAAATGACATAACTATAATCAAATGACACAACATACATGGGGTAACTGTGAGTGATTTGATTAATACACGGATTTACATGAATTTAAAAACAAAACGTACAGGCTCACTAAGGTAATCATGAGAAGCAGTGTAGTACAGAGAAGCATTCCTTCCATGAATCAAAGTTAAAGCCTAAGGAATAGCAGAAAAGAGGTTAATTACAATAGATTTACATTATCAATCACCAAAAGTATGCAGGTCAGAAAGCAAGTTTTCAATTTTCCAACTGAGCTATACCATTTTATATCAGATAAAATTCATATCTGTGACCAAATAATTATTAGATTAATTAAGGATGCCAACGTTTGAAATATTCTATTATTATATATTATTCTACTCTCAATGTTCAGTTCTTATGATTCTTTAGGGAAAAAACCCATAGGACCTATGTATAAAAACAGGGATGTCAAACTGGCGGCCCGCGGACGGGATACATCATGCGCAAGGCCATGCCCACCCCAGCTCTGCAAAGGCAAAAAAACGTCAAGATACATCACATGACGCGATCGAGTTTGACACCCGTGTATAAGAATAACTTATAAAGGTATTTATACTTGTGTTTCTTAAACCATTTTCCCTCAGGACTTTTTCTACCTTTTATAAATAATGGAGGACCCCAAAAGGCTTTTGTTAGTATAGGTTACATTTATTGATATTTATCTTTTAAAAATTAAAATTGATACATCTGATGCTATCATTTCTCTTGACAGTTTGATGGGATATTTGATATTGTATTATTTTTTTAACAAATGATGGCAAACCATTTTAACTGCAGATCCCTGAGAGGATTTTGGGAGACCTTCTGGGATCTTAGGACCACACTTAAGAAACACCGAATAGAAACCAAGAAACTGAATTTGACAAATTAGCTCAGTTCTAGTGATGGCAATATATACAGCTGGTAAATTGGGAAATATGACTAATATTTGGAACAATCAAGTTCTTTCTCTAGCTATTTTATACGCTACAGATTTTAAACACCACCTTTTCATTTTAGTTTAATGTCTGCTTTCTTCATAAAAAGGAAAAACAGTAATTTCTGTTGTCTGACTTGACCAATATAGCAAACCCAAACTCAAACCTTGGTCACTTCCCAGATAAAATATTGTTAACATATTCTAGATGGGCCTGCCCTTGAAAAGCATCCAGAATCTGCGAGTACAAAATGTGATGGTGC